AATTATTTAGGCGAGGCTATTTTTAGCTTATTATTATTAGACGTACAAGATGTTTGCAGTTTTAGTGAAATATATTGCAGGTATTTTAGGCGTGCTTAGAACTAATTATAGCGATAAAGGAGTTAGGGAAGGTCTAGTAGAGTGCGATAAAGCTTCACGTAGGATTAGGGATTCTATGCGCGGATCTTGGTCTATAGGTGAAAAACAACATCTTGAGGCTTGCTTACGTAATATTAAGTCGATGCGTAAACATTTTAAATTAGAACAAAAGAGGGTTCATGGCTTAGCATCGAATAAAGGAACCTCCACTTCGGCTTTTAGTAATAGAAAAGAAACCGCAAAACATCGCGTTCATTGGGATGATTCCAGTTCGGCGTTTAGAAATAGAATACGAACTGGAGTTATCACTAATCTTAAACATAAAGACCCCGGCAATTTCTTAATGGACTGTAAGACAATCTTCAAAAGCCGAATTCATAACGCGTTGAAGCAAGATGAGGCTGTGAAAGTAAATGCGATTTTTTGCGGGGAATTTGCGATTACTCAAGGTGAAAAGATGCTTAATGAGTATAAGTACTTTACAACATCAAATGCGGGAATATATAGGGGTACTGATATAGAAGAGTGGTTTAAGGAGAATGTTGAGAAACCGATAATGACCAAATTATCGGAGTTCCAAGACCGTGACAGCGGTTGGGCCCTTAAGGCTGTTATCAATTTGGGGGTTAATATTAACAAATTCACACCTCAACTTGGCTCTTCATATATTCAGCTACCTTCACAAATTCAATCAAAAAAGTCATGCGTTAACGTTAAGAATGATGATGATGCCTGTTTTGCGTGGGCGGTGGTTCCGGCGTTGTATCCTGTTGATAAAAATCCCCACAGAATGTCTAAATACCCTCACTACTCTTCCGTGCTCAAGCTTAAAGGGATCCAGTTTCCGATGACTATGCGACAAATTCCGAACTTTGAAAAACAAAACAACATCTCCATTAACGTGTATATTCTGAAGCAGGAGAAAAAAGACCAGTTTAATACGTTGCCTACCTACCTAACGAAGGAAAAGAGGGATAAACATGTGAACCTGCTTTTAGTGCAAGACTGCTACGAACAATCGGTCAAGTTCCATTATGTTTGGATAAAAAATCTTTCACGGCTAGTATCGAAGCAGTTAAGCAAAGAAAAAAGGCAAAAGTATATTTGCGATAGATGTTTACATTTTTACCGTTCTGAAGATAAATTACATAAGCATACTAAGGATTGCATACAAAAGAATGATACAGCCATCAAGATGCCTACAGAGGAAAAAAAGATGTTGAAGTTTAAAAATTTTAAAAATAAAATAAAAGCCCCCTTTGTCGTATATGCAGATCTCGAGAGCGTTCTGAAACCTAGCGAGAAGAAGACCGCCTACCAACAGCATATTCCAGCAGCTGTAGGATACTACCTCAAATGTTCATATGACGAATCTCTTTCGTTTTATAACAGCTACCGCGGTGAGGACAGTATGCGATGGTTTGCTGATGAGATGAATAAGCTTGCGGAAGATGTATCTACAGTGTTTCTTTGTCCCTACAAGATGCATATGACTCCACAGCAGGAGCTTGAATTTCAAGCAGCAACGGAGTGCCATATTTGCGAACAGTCATTTAAATCTGGACAAAAGAAAGTTCGTGATCACAATCATCTTATCCCGGAGAACAACTTCCGCGGAGCTGCATGTGAGGGATGCAACGTCAACTATCAGGACACTCATACAATCCCGGTGGTGTTCCACAACTTGAGTGGATATGACGCGCACTTTGTTGTAGCAGATATTGCTACTAGAATGGATGGCAAAATTGACTTGCTCCCTATAACCAAGGAGAAATATATTTCTTTCACCAAACATATCGATGAGTCACGTGTTTCCTTTAGGTTTATCGATAGCTTCCGGTTCATGGCGTCGGGGCTAGATAAACTATCGTCAGCACTGACAGAATTTCCCAATCTCAAGGCGCAATTCTCTACACTACCTGCGGATCAATTTAATCTTTTAACTAAAAAAGGAGTCATGCCGTATGATTACCTCGACTCGTTTGACCGCTTCGAAGAGCCAACTCTACCTCCTCAAGATGACTTCTACAATAAGCTAGAAGATAAGCCCTGTCCCAGAAAAATGTATCGTAGAGCTCAGGAGGTGTGGGACAGATTTAACTGCAGCAACTTGGGTCAATATGTAGACTTGTACATGAAGACTGATATTCTACTCCTTGCAGATGTCTTTGAACAGTTTAGATCAAGCTGTATTAGCACTTATGATTTAGATCCGGCCCACTATTTTACACTACCAGGCTTTACTTGGGATGCCATGTTGAAATACACGCAACAAGAGCTGGAACTCCTTACCGATCAGGATATGTTTCTCTTTGTCGAACGGGGTATTCGTGGAGGGCTAAGTCAAGTCTGCTGTAAAAGAAGAGCTCATGCAAACAACAAATATATGCTCAAATATGATTCAACGAAACCGGATGTCTATCTAATGTACAACGACATCAATAACCAGTATGGATGGAGTATGAGTCAATATCTTCCATATGGAGGCTTTGAATGGGTAGACTCCAACATCGATATCGCTACGATTCCGGATGATGCAGACGAAGGTTATATTTTAGAAGTTGATTTAACATACCCAAAGGATTTACATCAAGGACACGCTGCTCTACCGTACTGTCCTACACATATTAACCCGAAAACTTTAAAGCCACCTATTACTACTAAAGATCCTCCTTCAAAACTCATGGCGACTTTGGACAATAAAGAAAAATACGTCATCCACTATCGCGCCTTAAAACAAGCATTAGAGCATGGGTTAGTTCGCACAAAAGTACATAGGGTACTCAAATTTAAACAGTCCCCTTGGCTAAAGTCCTACATTGACCTTAATACTGACCTATGAAAAAAAGCCAAGAATGAATTTGAGAAGAACTTGTTTAAGTTGATGAATAACGCGGTCTTTGGGAAGACTATGGAAAATGTCAGAAAACGGGTTAATATCAAATTACTATCCCAATGGAAAGGACGTTACGGCGCAGAATCATACATTGCGAAACCGGAATTTAAATCTTGCGCCATTTTTAACGAAAACTTGGTAGCTGTAGAATTGAATAAGCTTGAAGTCTATTTAAATAAGCCTATATACGTAGGTCAAGCCATTCTTGATCTAGCCAAGACGACCATCTACAGCTTCCATTATGACTACATGATGGATAGATTTGGAGATAACTGCACAGTTCTTTACACAGATACGGACAGCTTAATTTATGAAATTCGTGAACAAGATCCTTATATGGCGATAAAAAACGACTGTTTTAAATATTACGATACTAGCGATTATGACCCCAATAACCCATATGGCATACCCCTTGTAAATAAGAAAGTGTTGGGCATGATGAAAGATGAAAATAATGGACAGATAATGACTGATTATGTAGGATTGCGATCGAAACTGTACACCACCAAAGTTTTACCCTCCAAGGATGATTTGATAAAATTACGGCAAAAATTAGAAGCGGAAGAGAATGAAGAGGATGAGATCGATACGATTATTAAAAATTTCGGTTTGATGAAGAAGGCAAAGGGTATAAAGAAAAGTGTAGTGGAGACTAAAATTACTTTTGACGATTATGTGGAGTGTCTGGAGACCTTTAAGCGCAAAACGACTTCCCAAAATTTAATCCGATCCAATAAACATCAGGTATATTCGATAACGCAGTCGAAAATTGCTCTAAGTCCCGAAGACGATAAGAGATATTTAATCCCAGGTACATTTGATACTCTTCCGTGGGGCCATTATGCTATCAGTAAGCCTCAAGATGTTCAACAGATGGAAATTGATTAAAGTGCAAATTTTTATTAATTAATTGCAGTTTTGTTATCTCGTTTGAATAATTTACCAACCCTTGACGAATTAATGAACCCTTTCAATTTATTTTGAAAGCGCCGTTCGTGCAGTCTCCCTCAGGTAAAATATTCAATCGATATAAACAAATTGCAGCAGATTATGGTAGGCCTGTTAATTATTTTTTATGCATATAAGAAATTGTTAATGGGGAATCCTATAACGAGGCTGTAAACACCCCCCAATAAAATTACTTTAATGCAATTTTATTGCCTCTAAGGTGGCCATGGAAAGGGGTGTATCATATCGAGCGAACCTCCGTACTCGATATTGCGGCTAATTGTTAAATTATTAATTAATAACTTTAGTTATAGCAAAATTTAAAATCTACTCATCTCCAGGGCATAACGATAGTCGATGTAGTGAAACAGCCTGCTTTTGAATAGACCGAGGTAATATTCATAAGGTATATGTTTTACCTATATAATATCAGGTATGGCGATATTGAATATAATGAGTGAAGGATGTAAATTTTTATTGCGTGTTTATCTGCATACCCCTTTGTATCAAGCTTCCTATGACATCGTTTGTCACATAGCTGTGCAATCTGTGCAGGTTTCCTGTCTAAATGGATAGCAATAAATAAAACTCCTCCTAGAAATCGTTTGATAGACATTTGTTACGAGGATGGCGGGTAAGAATGAGCTCTTTTCTATTTTTCATCAAACTTAATGTATGTAATTTTTCAGCTCAAGGTGCGGTCATAGTCTTCGGGCCTTTGCAGACGGCCTATGGTAAATACACCGCATATCTATCACACGTTTAAATATATATTTGTAGAACGAGAACTCCGAACATATCTCATACAAAAATATGGATCTGTAAGTACTTTTCATGCATCATATACCGTATTTTAATTAGCTCTTATTTAGGAACATGTTGCGATTTTACGGGGTCGGGGAGCAATCCCCGGCTCCATAAAAGTGGAGGAGGCCCTCTTCCGGGGAAAGAGGTTCCAGGTCTATAAAGACCTGGAACTCCAGCACACCTATTGGGTGTTCTATGTAAGTGTTATCATTTCAATTATAATGTATACTTCAATGAATTTTTTTTTTCCAGAATTAATAAACCTGTTAAATTTTGTTCTGTTTTTCTTATCCGCCCCACTGCATAGATTATGATTGTATCCGTGTTCTAAGCTCTTACCTAAAATAGTAAGATGTAGTGGTTAGGTATTTATCCATAATGCTATACGGTGTTATCCTTTCTCTCGTAAAAAGTCTTAAGGCGCCAGAAGCATCTCTATCCTAGTTTGGAATTAAGAAGCTTGCCTTATCACAGATATTATCAGCACATAAACTTAAATCCAAGAAAAATTGTCAAAATCCTAGGAAATTTGTATACAAATAATTAGGATATTATTTTAGGAATATTCTTAGACTAAAGGTTATTAGCAAACTACCCCTGTATAAAGCTAAAAATAGAAAATTCTTGTATAAATTTAAGATTTCATTGTTGCAGTACTATTAAAAAGGAAGGCCTGTTAGTTATTTTTTCATACACCCTGTGTAGAGAAATAACTAATGGGGAATCCTATAACGAGGTCGTAAACATCTCCAATAAATTGCATTATTTCTAGTGCGAATTTATTGCCTCCTGGGTGGTCATGGAAAGAGGTGTATCTAACCAATAATAATTTAACCAAAGCTATACAAGGTAGATCGATCTTTGATTGCTAGAATTAATAACACATCTGTTTTAAATCGTACGCTTACACGTATTATGAAGGTACTGCTCAAGTGTATCAATTTGATTTAAGAAGCGTGTCGTATCACAGATATTAACAGTACATAAAGTTAGCTTCCTTTCTCCCGTAAACAAGTCTTGAGGCACCTCCTCCCACCCAACGTCCATCTCTATCCTGTTCGGGATTAAGAAGCCTGCCTTAGCACGGGTATTATCACCATATAAACTTAAATCCAAGAAAAATTAACAAAATTTGTGAGAGTTTATATAACAGCACTATTCTAACTAGAGTAATAAAAATTTATATCCTAGCACTTTGATTGCAGGAATTAATAACACATCTGTTTTAAATCGTATGCTTACACGTATTATGAAGGTGCTGCCCCAAGTGTATCAATTTGATTTAAGAAGCTTGCCTTATCACAGGTATTATCGGCACATAAACTTTGATTCAAGAAAAATATTGATTTAGCCCCATACGAAACTTTTCTTAATAGCTGTAATTGATATGAAGGTTATATGATAAGCCTTTTCTTAATATAGATATAGCTAAAGTTGGTGTAATACATAATATTCACAATGTTATCTTATTTATCGCAACGGCATTATCCTCTACCTACTTCCCATCAATAAATCTAAGATATTATATAGGTATTATAATAATAAAGCTACGGCGCTTGCGACCGTTTAACCATGATGATGATGAAGGCAATCCTCCATTGAGGTTTGATATCGGCTAAAAAAGATATCAATGTAGGCTTTTTATTACAAAATAATTTTGATACTTACGGTCCAACTCTGATGTAGACTATGTTTTCTGCTGTCAGCTTATTACTTATAAACGCCCATATAAAATAATCGCTGAATAAATACAATAAAATGTCACGCTTTCATTAAACTGCAAATTATGCGCGCAAGGACACGTATCCCTAAGAAAAGTAAATTATAAGCAACTAAAAATTGAAAAAAGGCTTACCTGAGGTATATAAGAAGGCGCCTGTCTAAGTAGGTGTATACCCACATGCACTTTTTGAAATCGGATTGCGGATGCACGCCGTTTTTAAATATTGCGGAACGTCGAATTTATAATTAGTACAGAACGTACTTCACCGTAAAGATATACACATTTCCTATTTCCATCATATTTCCCACCTTTTTTATGGGAGATTTTCGAACTTTACGCATTCATACACAATAAAACCCGTATATAGGTGTCGATATGGAAATGAAATGGGATAAAGTACCATATCAAATTCGCGAGCACGCGCTGCTATAAATAAACACTATCGCAAGATTGAAACTTCCCATACCAATTATTAGAATAATGACATCTGCGAACTCTGTTCTCTTTGAGGATAGCTTCTACGTCTTACTATAAAAAACCAGGGGGCTGCCTTAGACCCTAAGAGCTACTATATAAAACTAGGGGTAGTTCCTTGGGGATAGGATTAGGGGTTAGCTCCCCCACCCTACGAAATAGCTCACATCGGTATCTACAGCTCCTGACGTTGATGCTATAATTAAATACTATCGAATTATTGCGAGATTGCAGCATCCTCTCCCATAACCGCGGTTATTTTTTTCTCTAACTGATAACACATTTACATTCGTGCTTATTTAGCTGCAAATGTCGAGTGAGTAACATCTTCATATTGCTTTCACAACTTAATAGTTATTATTTTAGATCAAGAAATGTGCAATCATTTTTGCGAGGAGTCGAGGTAAACCTGCATGTATATTACTATACGTTTTAACCGTATATTTGTAGAACAAGAAACTACTATTATTTTCGGCGGGATAAACCCAGCGAGGTATAAAACCCCCCCCCATGTATTACGTTTTAATTATATACCTATGTGTAGAACGGAGCGGGGATTTCCAATTATGAATAACAATGTCGGCATCCAAAAAAAAATAGGGGCGTTGCCGTCGTCGGTCCTCTTCGACGCAAATTTTATGTAAGTAGAGTAAGCGCTTTAATTGTAATAATAAACTTCAAATCGCTATTTCAGCTCTAAATAAAAACGCCCTACATTTTGTTTTTGTTGTTTTATTTCCCTACCCGCCCCTGTTCTGGTTGTAGGTTAGAATGGGGCCCCCTTGTGTATGTCTCTCAAATGGGGGAGCTACCTCCGAGATGGAATGATAGGTTAGAATTCTCCTCCCTTGCATCTCTCTCCTGAACCCTCGTATCTAACCGTTTGATGTCTCATCAATGCCGGGGCGCCGGTTGAAATTATACTTTCCTATACCTATACGAATCCTAATAGATGGCGACTCCGTTCCGTTAAAATAGGTTAGAATGAGGGACCTCGCACTTGACGACTGAAATTACAATTTCCTACCTCTATATGCATTACGACGCCAATAGATGGCGCCTCCGTACCCTTAAAATAGGTTCGTTATAAATACAACTATCCAAGCATTATATCATACAAGTCTAGTTAGCCTAGTGGTTATGCTATAGGACTTGTAATCCGATGGTTGGCGGTTCGAATCCGTTCCATTTAAAAAAAAATTTCAGGAGGTTCGATATAAATACAACTATCCAAACATTATACCATAATAGTCTAATTAGCTCAGTGGTTATGCTATAGGACTTGTAATCCAATGGTTGGCGGTTCGAATCCGTTCCATTTAAAAAAAAAATTTCAGGGTACGAAGGGGTCGAAGTTGAGGATTCTAAGATGGCGCGTCCAAGAACTTGAGGATACCAAGATGGCGTCCAAGAACTTGAGGATTCCAAGAACTTGAGGATACCAAGAACTTGAGGATACCAAGAACTTGAGGATTCCAAGATGGCGTCCAAATGACGCCTGCGCAAAGATGGTGTCCAAATGACGCCTGCGCAAAGGGGCGGGGCGCGCATGCGCACTGACCAGAAGTGCTCAAAAAAAGCACCAAACGAACCTTTAGAATTCGCTTATGGGAACAATTAACATGTAATTTGGCCGGAAGTTGTGCTAGAACCCGTGCAGCCCCGTTTACTCCTTACGATCAGCTATCATCACTGGTCCCGCGTAATCAACTGCACAATTCAAGAAAGGAAACTGAAGTTCAGTTCTAACAGATGGCAACTGTCCCATGATGGGTTGTACGTGTTGTGATCGGAACCTAAAGCATTTTACACACCTGTGAACAATTAACTTGGATAAATTTTTGCCATTAAGAGGCCAATAATTCTGTCTAATGTTGGCAAGTAATAACTGAGGTCCTGCATGGCATAGCTCTTTATGTTTCGATTCAAAAATCATATTCGTTAATTTATGTTTGCTACAGAGCAGTATGGGGTGTTTAACATCATAAGTATAAGGAGAATTATCAAGCCTCCCCCCGACTCGTAGGATATTGTCGGAGTCTATGAATGGAGAAAGACATAATAATCTAGTTCTAAATCCATACAAGACCCTGTATTTTTACACATCACTCCACTTCGAAGGTTGACTCGACCCTGGTTGCTGTCAAAAATTGCATCATAGTCAGTTAATGTGACTGTGTAAGTAGCTTGTACTACAACGTATGACCAATCGCCAAACGAGTCTTTATAATTTGCACCAGAACATGATCCACCGTTCGATATGGTGCCTGCAAGTGTGCTTGTGAACGATACACTCCCGTTCAATTTTAGATTATCCACTATGTCGCCTACAGCATTAGTATACCTCCTAGTTCTATGCATAACTTCGCAGTCAGATGCAGTTGTTTCTAGAATATACTGATGTAAACCTCCAGACATTGCGCTCATTCCACTAGCGGCCCCACAATGGGACACTAATCTCAAAACGTGAACCTTACATTGTGTCACGTGAATAGGATAGGATTCCGCCAGTTGTAAGAGCTGTATATCTTGACTAAACTCCTCCTTTTTTGATACAGTGTCTTCCGCACATTGATCAACAGATTCTAGACTGATGGTGGTAATGTTGATCTGAAACGAAGTGCAATCATATCCTATGACGGCCCCTTGATTAGTTCCAATCAAAGGCATTAGTAACAACCAAATAGACAAAAAGATCATTTTTAAAACAATATTATTTTCCTGTAGTATTTGCACTATTTTATTGATGTATTGTGTTGTAAGATTATCATATATGCAAAACTTGTATGGTACATATATCTATATAAAAGACGGATCCAATAAATCTATACTTAAGTGTTCGTTTAAGGCCTTTATATCTATGACTGAGTTATTCAAACCTCAATCAAGGGCATGAATATTTAATAGAAGCAGATGTATTTGGTTTCAATAAGGTGTTGCTTGGTTTCGGAGGTAATGGAGGATATAGACAAGTGAGGTGCTTTGGAGCACTAGGTGCAGGTCTGGTTACAATAGTTTCTTTAAGAAGGGTTTCAGAAACATCATAACCATCATTCTCACTCTTAAGTTGGATGATGTCTTCAGAGTTAGGGTTCTCTTTCTTCTTTTTTGTTAGAAGGTAAGTGGTGAGACTGTCCCAAAAAGCCCCTAGCAATGCGTAGCTTAAACCATATACCATATACAGAGCCCTTCCATGTAGTAAAGTATCCAACAGAAATTTGCATACTCTGACAATTAAGAAGAGGCCTAATAGACCCGATGTAAATTGTCCTAAGATGGATAACCACCCCCACAACTTATCGAGTACGCTTTGTGTAAGGTCTGATAGAGTACCTGGGTCCATCAGGTCATAGATACTCAGATCTTGAGATTCGATGTCTGCGTGTTGCATAACTCGTGTAATGTAATTTGTAATAGCTTCTCTTTCATATGGATGCATGAGTCTTTGTCCCAGTCTTGACAATTCATTGGTATCATATATCCCACTATCAGCTAGTGATGATAATTGTGAAAACGTCCATTCTTTAGGTTTTTGTGGTCGTAATATCTCAGGTTGTTTTACGGCGTGGTTTTGCGGACCACACTGTTCCAATTTTATACTGAGGTCCAGTTATAGGGCTGCAGTCTATCTCAGTCCCATATTTCTGCAATAACCGAGATCTTGGTGTCAGGTAATAACTGTTGTTATTGTATATAACCGGAAGCTCTAAGTAACAAGCTGATGTGTGTCGTAGCTTGACCTCAACTGGTGTGAATTGAGCTATATGAATCACTTCTCCAGCATGTATGACGGTATATCCGGGAGATTCAGTATAAGTATAAGCACAGTCCTTAGGAGATAAGACAGCCAAAGTTAATAATTGTAATAATGTTTTCCTCTCTACAATACATCGTTGTAAAGAAAGCTCGCGATATATATTGGACATCTCTTTATGGAGTTGTTTCTCCACATATACGAATTTAGAGTTCACATAGGTCATCAGATCTAGAGTTGCAGTAGGCACGTGTCGTTTTATAAATCTATACCCTCCCGGACCTTTTGGTGCTATAACAAGTCTTGGATGTTCAGTTTGGTACATATCTGTCATACATTGCGTGTAGTGTCCTATTGTTCTAAGACCAAACACTTTCGGTCCCGCATCGACCATATACGTGATAATAACATCTGTACCACTCTGTACTCTAGTAACATGAGCTGGTCCTTCATATAACACTACGTGTAACCTTGGATCGCATTGAGCTAGTTCAGTCGGAGTCCAAAATGTATAACCTAGACTTGTTATAGCACCAAAAGGTCCGGGAGGGTATAGATTTATAAAAACACAATAAAAAAATCATTGAGACGCACACATCTTAACGTTTGAAATTCACATGCATAACTTAACTATTCCCATGTTGGTATCACTGAAAATTTTACATTCAAAATTTTCAAATTATCAATTGTTATTTGATAAAATTTCTTTTCGTTTGGCGTCCCTTCACCAAGCTGCGAAAATTTCTCCGATTAAAAAATTTACGTCTGTGATTCACAATTTTGGTAAGTTGCTATCATTAGCTTCTCTTAGGCACCAATTGTGTTATTGTGTACAACTTGGTAGGATTTGCAAAATACCAGTATGATAGATATAAGGCAGTCATATAGATAAGAGACTGTTGGGAGATTTTTTAACAGAGATGGGAGGGAGGTTTTTGAACACCTACAAAATTTGGGATAAATGGTAAATATTGCATTCAAAATCGCATAAAAATAACATTTATTTGACTTCCAGTGATTTGGAAATATTTGAGTAACACGAGGGTGTCACGTTGAAGTGAGATTGACAATATTAGCAGTTGGTACGAAAAAAGCGTTCCAAGTTAATCGGTGATCGCTAACGTAGCAGCGATCCATGGAAAATGCGAGAGATGTTCCTTCCCCTCTTGACCGTATTAGGCGGTGGATGCTAAGCGGCGATTCATACGAAAAAGGCGTTCCAAGTTAATCAGTAGTCGATACGAACCAATTGGTATATGAAACATGCAGGAAGTGCCCGGGTTTCCCCTCTCGGTGGTCGATACAGATAAATCGATTTCTGCCACATGCAACCATCTCTACGCCATTCTTCTTCCCTAATGCATTCAAGTTTAGACTGTATACGCTTCAAAAAGTGGTGTTATTAAAATGTATGTCACATGGAAGTGTCGCTTATTTGGTGTTTAAGTCGAACAAAACCTAAAATTGTATTGTGTACCTGTTGTACTACTTTTATTACATTCAATTGCAATTGATACTTGTATTACGTCTGTCCTAAATGATTTTTAAATTGGAATTTCTAAAATTTCACATATCGTAACAGATAATGCCTCAAATTTTGTTAAGGCATTTTGTGTTTATGGACATGGCGATGGCACATATGCACTTGACAATGAAGTGTGGTATTTGGAAGATGAAAACATTGCCCCTGTCTGTAACGAATCCCGTGATGATGATGATGATTGCAGTGCGAATGCAGAAACTTCTGAAGGTATGCCATTGTTTTTATTTTTCGGTAATAAAAATGACTATATTATTTAAGATGTACAAGTGGTCAATTTGGAGCCCATTCTAGGCACTGCTCATCCTTATGATGATGATGACCCGGAATCATCAGGTGGTGAGGGAGAAGAAATTATCTTGCCAAGTCATATGAGGTGTGCTGTACACACTCTCAACTTAGTTGAACTCCTGGTGCCAATAAAGCCTTGTTGGATAAATTAACTGACTAAGAAGATTTATCGCTCTACATTTTGGAAACTTCAGGGTTTTTGGAACCAAACGAGCAGGAGTACCGTCGCTTCAGACCTAACATACGAACTATGCAAGTGTAAATTTCCTGTGCCTATTATGACACGATGTAATTCATATTATGATGCAACAAACAAAATTTTGCAACAAAAGGATAAACTAGGCGAATTGTTCTCAAAGTTGAAACTCCCAAAACTAAAGGGCACAGAATGGAATTTCATTGAAGAGTACTACAGAGTGATGCAACCACTGGCTTGTGCATGAGATAAACTACAAGGTGAATTAGTGTTTGTTGCTCCTACTTTATTCGTTCTACGCATCAGGTTGACTGAGCTTTCTTCTCTTTTCTACTGCACTCATTTGAAATTGGCGATAATGGCAGGGATTGAACAGAGATTCCGACACCTGTTCGACATGGAGAATAACCCAACTGAAAGTAAAGCTTTCATTTTGTCGTCTATGAGTCACCCTAAATTCAAAACCAAGTGGATTGCTGAATTTACTCTTTTGGCATCGAACACTTCGAAAAAAGATAGTGAATCGGAAACAGATGACAGCGCTGACTTT